CGCCGGGCCAGTGAAGAGCACAAATATAACTTAAGTGTTTCTTGTTATGTTTTTCTCCGTAAAAAACTCATGCGAACAAGCCACCAGCCAACGCTTGCACTTTGCCATGTCTCGCGAAGGTTTTGGGAAAGGAATGAATACTTTCTTCCCTAATTCCTTTCACTCTTTGAGTGATTTTGGCCATTTATCTGCATATCTTGAGTCTGTCTTACACACACCCCAACAACAGTATTTGGTACCAACCATACCGCTTCCTTTTAGAACGCCAAGTCATTTTTTGACGAAATTTTCCGTCGTTTTGTTTTAATTTTACAGCTCTCGCTCATACATTTCATTAAGCTGGTCGCAATGTTTGTCTGAGTCTGTGCGGGGGGTCTCATAGGTTATCACGTAGCAAAATCTATTTTTAGTAATAGTATAAAGCGCTATTGACCGTATATCCTCGTCACTTCAATGAGAATGTTTCGCTTCGTAAGCTCAATACTCTGATGGAAACCCGAAGCTGTTGGCGTCCTTATCTTTATGTCTTACTGCAGACCTCCTTCGCATATGTTTTAAGCTCTGCAGATGCCGATTTGATCCTTTCCGCCTTTCTGATTGGATCGTCTTCTTAAAGGTTCATTTTGATTTCGTGAGCTATCTCTGGGTAGTTTTCTCTGCAGCTTTCAAAGCGGTGTTGTATGACACTATGACCAACCTTGATGTTCATATTTTCATACTAGTCGAATCCTATAAACAATGGAATACTAGTGCGTCCCGTTTTACTTCCCTGACTATGATTTTGGGAAAAGCAAGCTTGATGTGTCCTGTAAGCACAACAGGGTTACTATGAGGATGAACCAAGACATTCCAAGTCAAACTTGAAGTGTTGGTCCAGGGTTTCAGGTCTCACTCTGTGAAGTCGAAGTAAAGTTATTTTTGCGAAGATATTTCACAGTCGTTTCTGACTGAAGTGGCTGTCATCGGCTACTCACAAGCCCTTTTTTCCTTTTCCGACAAACTTGACGCAACGAAAGGCATTTACAATATGCAGCTTTATGCCTGGTTCCTTGGAAATCATGCTTTCTTAATCACAATGAAGTTTATTGCCTAGCGAGCGCCGACGATCATCGTCTGATTTTATTGTTTCGCAATCAGCTGACTCTCCGGTCGCATACCCGAAGTCATCGAGATTAACTCGCATAAATCGAAATTTAAGCGCATTTATTTCAGGCAGTACGGGGAACTCAAGGTATCAGCAAGATTAGGTTGCTACTCGCAATGGGAATAAATCGTGTCACACCACCTCTTTAATATTGACATGGCCGTGACCGCAGTCGAAAAATCAGTAACTACGAATGTGGTAACAAAATTTTCTTTTCTCTCTTTGTCTTTGCCACGTGCATTTAAGTAATTGTAACCCTAAAAATGATTCAATTTGCTGGCGTGGAATTGTTGCGATTTACTCGCCTATTGTTCATCTATTTCGAACCTCGACGGCAATTAGATCTAGTGCTATTTAGTTATCTAGTGGGTTTATCTAACGGGAATGGATCCAATGATCAATGAAACTGTCAAACCCGTTGCAGTGACCTCACCATTTTTTTTTTCATTTGTTGTCTGTTCGGTGGCTCGTACCCACTTTAATTTCCGTCAGTGTCCCCATTGGAGTTTTTGCAAGGTAAAGTTCCTTAACTTAGCACCTCTAAGAATAGATTACGGATTGACAAGTTTTGAGCCTTTACTGTATATTTTGTTTGCAGATATCGTCGAATACACAAGCAATAAAGTGAAGGTATTTGACATTTTGAACTCAGAATGTGATCTTGGAGAGAATATCATCGACTGCTTAAATGTTATGGAAGGCATTTTTAACATATTGTATCTGCCAGAGAAGCGTAACAAAGTAGTGGGTAAAGCTAGAAAGCGAATCCAGGAGAGTCTAAACGACTTTCATGGAATGTTCTTGGATAGTAGCATTACGGTTAACATTGCAGCTTTTGGCACCGAGGGGGTGGGGAAAAGTTCCCTTCTCAATTTTCTTCTGAATAACGGTGTTCCAGAGCTCACTGAAAGGCCTCTACCCGCGGGAAAAGGGTCCAGGAAAACTAGTTTACCAATTTATGTAAGGTATGCCAACATCTTCCAAGTGTTGTTGCACGATAGTAAAGGAGAAGTTAAAACAGCAGTGTTATACCCCAACCCAAACCTAGAGGGTCGAGACAAGGATCCCCTAAACAATGTTAGGGATATCATTGCAGATTTATTTGAAAAGGAAGACATACCAGACTCCTCATACTATTTAGAGTTACAAGGTCCGTTCCCTATCCTTCATGGTTTTGAAGAGACCATAGTAACAAGCTGTGGTCATTTTCAGTTACAAGTCAGTGTAAGACTATTAGATTTTCCAGGTATTCGGAAAGATGGGGAGGGAGATGAAAGTCTTTGCAGAGAAGTGAGCAAAGCAGATATGATTCTGTTTTTCACATGTGGCCAGGGAGGACGAACAGTCACAACACATGATCTAGAAAATCTGTTTCGCCAGCACGGACATTTTCATTTTTCATCTAGACCAAAGCTTGTTCATGTGGTGAGGGCAGATGAATCTGATGACTTTAAAGGCTTGCTCAGTAAAAATGAGATGGCCCTAAAAAAGGCCTGGGAAGATTTCCTCTTGAAGGAAAGCAGGGAATTCACAGGAAAGCTTCCCAAACTAGGTGGGGAGGACCTATTGAAAAAACTTAAAGAAGAAACAGAGGTTCTCGTGTTCCATCCGGCAAACGACGAGTTTCTACCGGGCCTTAAGAAAGTAATCCGTTGCCACGTTGAAAATGTGAAAATGAAAAATTCGTTCTATCCGCTAACCAAATTTATCCATTCGATCGCCAGACAACTTAATAATACAATCCACTCATACAAGTCAGCTTCCCGCAAAAGACTCGGGAATGTGGCGAGTGCTGACGTATCATTCGAAATCGAATCAAATAGCAAGGAGGCAAAGAGCGTTGTTCAGTCTTTTATTATCGAAGATGGCATTATTAATTGTAAAGACATCAAAGAAGCCTTTGAAGCCTTTTTGCAAGCAGATGATACCCGCCAATTTGTCTTAGATCAACTGAAAACGTCGCTTGACAACCTCAGTAAGAGGATAATTGAATCTGTAGAAGATGGATACCGTGCTAAAGCAATAGATCTGGAAGATGGCCTTAGAGACCTGGCTAAATTTTTCTGCCTTGGAAAACTAAATCGTTTCTTTGCTCATCAAGCTTTGCCCCTTTATTCCTGGGTTTTAAAGAAATTAAACCTATCTCAGCCAAAAGAAGAGGAGGAATGGCCAAATTGTGACAAGGAAGACAGAATTAACATGCTTACCGTTTGTTTGGAATTGATCTTGACTAAAGTCTTGGAGAAACTTGGAAAAGTGCGTTTTGTTCCGGCTGAAATGTCGCCATTGGAGCTACAACAAGAGTTGAAGAAAGGTGTAGCGGAGATTTTTGCCGTTCGGTCAATTGATCGTGTTGCTAGTGATACTGATTTTTTAAAAGACAAGTTAAAAAGTGTCATCAAATTTTCCTCTCAGACTATCAAGACGTACAATCCCCACTATGACTTATCTAGGTTAGCCTCGCTTGACCACGAGAATGAATTCCCTGAATGCATGAAAATGCGTCCTTTGGACGAGAACCTAGAGATCCCTCTAGATCCTCCTGATCCAGAATCAATAATCACTTACGTAATGCAAGTTTTAACCTCCAAAAAACATGATCCAGTCAGAGAAGTAGAGAAGAAGTTGAAGTTGGAAAAGCACGCCTTGGACCCACCCCAAGGTGTGGATGCAGAAGAATGGGTAAAAGCACTTCTTACCGTCCTAAGTGACGAGGACCATTTTAAGATCCCACTTGAGGATACCTACAAACTGGTCGTTGATAAAGAATCAGTGATTTCAGATGCTAAACAGCGTCTTTTTCCATTTCAAAGGTCACGTGTGGAATGCCGGATAGTAGAGAAAAGCACGATTCTCGAGAAGGAAATACAAGTGGAGAGGCGAACTGAACTTGAGAACGTACTTGAGGTGGCAATGTCTGGTGAAACACGAAAGTACCTCGAAAGTGTTTGCGTAAGCTTCACTGACTTTCACACTCAACTTGCTCCGATATTTATTCCGGTCACTCATCCTGGACCAGAGAAAGAGAGGAAAGGAAATTTTTCCTTGGAGGAAAACTACTGGAACCCAAGTGAAGTTGAAATATTCAACGAAGAAGACATTGAAACTGCAAAGGACAGAGTTGCAACAGCAGAGGAAGATAAAAAAAAAAGCAAGTTAGAATTCAACATTTTCCTTGTAGTAGAAAAGCAGCACTTGGATATCATCAAGTCTTCAATAAAAGAGCAAGAATCGCCAGTGGACAGGAAAGTTAATGTATACTACGTAGTGTTGCCACAAAGTGGCCGTGGAATGGGGGTCACAATGGCAATAATCAAGAGCCTTGCGGAGTGCTTCAAATTTGACGCGTACTGGAGAATAGATGACGACCTAAAGTTTATGTACCAGTTCGTTGAAAGAGACCACCGCTGGCACAAATGTTCCTTTGGCAGAGGGCTTCTGTTTGCTCAGCGGGCGTTCCATCAGCGTCGTCAAGAGGTACTCAAACCTCTTTCATATGAGGACATAGAAAAACTTGCAGACGAATTGGAGGAATCCTGGCCTTCCTTTGCTTCAAAGTCTCGCCATAAAGCCCGACGTTTACTATATAATGATAATGAGCTAGAGAAAGTAAAAAAAAATCCAGGTCTTTTGCATTCTCCCTTTACAAGTGAAATTATATCGGAGGATTGTGGTAGTGTCGAAGATACGGAAAAGCTCAGAAAATTTGAGAAAGAGTTTGTTGCTAAATGCAGAGATCTAATATTTCAGAGTTCTGCGGACCGCATCGCTGGAGTCTCCCTCTCACACTTAACGACCAGAAAGGCTGACATCATGGGAAGTTTTCCATCTGCCCATTTCCGACCACTTAAACAGGTAAGTCAGGTGAATCAGATGAATCAGGTTGTCCTTTTTAATGCCTCAGCATTACAAGGTATTAACTATGTATCTGACGAGGTGATCTTTTCTGACGAGGAAAATCAGATCTCGAACAAGGAGAAATCAACAAATCCCTACTGGGGCGTGAAGAACAGTGAGAAGTTCTTCGGATCTGCGCTTCAAGTCAATGGTATCATAGGATTTCAAGTGATCTGCGTTAACCATGTTCATGAAAAAAGGCTGAAAGATGTTTTTCCGACACCCACGGAAAAATGAAACTGTTTGGAAACTGTATCGCGTTAGTTTAAGAGCAATAAAAATTTTGAAAGTAGTGGATTGTGAATGTAGTGGCTTTAATTTTTTTTGTCTGATGAAAGCCTTGCAGTTCGATAGCCTGGGAAATCAAAATGTACTCTGCACGAGGAACAAAAGAAGGTACTTAATAGATTTTTTATATTCAATGGGTCTTTTGGCTTTTCCTCTTTAAGTGTTGCGAAAGACAACGAACTACCGAGCTCATGTAAGATCCATGAAATTTCACTGTAATATGATGCAGGGATATTGCTCACTTGTTATTAGAGAGCTATTTGCAGAGGCCTTCCATCTGAGCCATGCTAGAAATCCAGTACTTGAGGAACACCTTGAAACCCCACGAAGTTGCGAAACCATAAATCTTCCCTCGACATAGTCTGGTGCCAAAAACTGAAATTTCTTTAATTATTTATGGTTTATCTTACGTGCAAAGTAATTAAGTGTTACTTAGCTTCTTAAACGCTTATTATATAGGGTTGTGTTTCGTTGTCGATTTGTCCTGAGAAAAGAGTGTAACCTACCGGTTACTGTCTTTTATTGAATCAGTACTTTTAGTTTCGTTACAGGATGTAGAATATCCAGCTGAGTCGTATTCTGTAATGCTCATTAATGGGTAAGTTGTGGTTCAATGTTGCTCCTGTTTTCCTTACGGTTTCAACGATATTCACGATTCAACTATCCCCGCAGAGAAGAAAAACATTGGTGAAATAGGAGAAGAGGGTAAAAGTGGACCAGGACTTATCCAAACAACTGAAATAGGACAAAGAATTGTTTTCATTCGACCTCAATCGAAGTATGCGCAATTTTAAGTTTAGATATCCTTCCCTGATTTACTTTAAGTTTCTGATGCAGTGGCAAGTGTTGCAGGGTTTAGGTTTTTTGCTGACGTGGAATTGACCTATAGTTTACTCATCCAATTCCATGTGTTTTCTTAGGGAGTAGAGAAAACTGCCCCAAATTGAAGGATAGAATAAAGACAATTCGTACTTTTTAATCTTGTTCTCGTAGTCTGAGCTTTTTCTCTGATGTTGCAATTGTTACTTCGGCTCTAAAAAATAGCAATAACATCAGTTAAACAGTTATTTCTTTAAGGTTAATATAGCAATTTCTCATGCTTAATATGCTAATAGGAATTCTGTCATTTTTAAGACTCTGCCAACTTCATGTATAATCACATTAGCAGCGGTTATGGTTGTTAGAAACTGCACAAAAACCCAAAAAAAGGCAAAAAAGGGGCAGTCGTAAAGTTCTTCAAAGTAGCTCGGAGGTGAATAGCCGAGTATACTCGGAGTTTGAGTAGACAATTAGAGCGTGCCTTCAACGATATTCACTGTTTTAGTGTAGACTGATAGCGAACATAGCAATTTGAAGTCTTACTCCAAATACTTTTACTTAAAGCTAATCCTGTGATTTTAGGTTATACATAGTTACAGTTACTTTAGTTGAAAAATTCGAATCGATCCTACCTAATCAAAGAGGGAATAACACCATTTACAAAATAACTTCCCGCTCACATCACGACTTATCGCTAATGGACAAACCACGCTATCCTCTCTATAGCGTTTCATCGTGCGGTGGATGGAGTTGATCTCTCTTGAAACAGAAGGGGTAAGACTTATTTCACAGTAGTTGTCACATGAATTCCTTTTTCTTCCCAAACCTATTTTGTAAGCTTTTTTTTGATTTTGTTTTTTAGTTTTTATAAATAAATGGAAGAATTAAGATAAACTTCGTCTTTTTTGACGTCAGAATCTTGCCGTAAAACACCCTGGGCCTGAAACAAAGTCTTACGTTGGCTGCGGTTTGCGACAAGCGATTGCCCCCGAGATTTATCCACTTACTCAGTGGGTTGAGGACTGAACAATTATTATCAGTGTTGGCCATGAGTTCCTCCCTGATGACACTCAAAACAGTATACAACCTCTGGCTAAATTAAAGATGGTTAACAAATAAAAGGGAAAAAAATCTGGTTTCTCCACGAGGTATTGAATTTAAGTCCATAAATACTTGGAGAAGTATTTTTAGATGGTTAGAGCTGTCGTTGACAAAAACCACGTTTTATGATAGATTATTTTTTGTGCTTCAGAAAAATGCTGCACATAGAACCTGACAACGGATATTTATGCAATATTCACGGGAATCGTACTCAAGAGAATATTTGCAACTTTAATCAGGAAGTTTTTTGAATCGACGACGATGCTTGGTAACAAATATGTACTTTCCATTGTTTCTCGGGGGAGCTGACGATCAGTCCCTCTGTCGTTTTCACCATCGGCTTAAAACTTCCCACGCTACCTCGCTCATTTGCGTTCCACATAGAAGCTGACAAAATCAAAACCGTCAGGGTTTAAAAATAAAGTTTTGCGTGCTCTAAATGGCTACCAGCACACTCTTACATCGTACAGAGGCGCGGTAACCTAAGGTGAGCTGACTCTCTGTCTTTTGGTTACAATGAATACATGAAGTTCATATATTTGAACTGCGGTTGTAGATACGTATGATGCACGGTCCTCGCAGTAGAGAGCGCTATTTATGTAATAGCGAAAATGAGACCTGAAAAAAATCAGGCCTGTACGGGATTCGAACCACTGACCTCTGCGATACTAGTGCAGCGCTCTACCAATTGAGCTAACAAGCCAACTGGGAGCAGGACGTTAAGTTGATTCGCAATAAACCCGTGATGATAAATCAGATACAATGAGTATATGAAGTTCATATATTTGAACTGCGGTTGTAGATACGTATGATGCACGATCCACGCAGTAGGGAGCGCTCCCTAAGAATACATTTAAAGCATTGATTAGTTGCGAGAAGAGACGGGTGCCTCTTTGATTTACGCAGGGGTTTAATGCACTGAGCATAAATTTTGATTTTCCTTAAGACCAATTTTATTCGTAATGTGAGCATGTATTGGATCTAAATCTCGTCATTTTGAATTCTTAATGAGTTCGAAATTTCTTTTTTTCCAACCATTCACGAAACTCAAGAAATAATTTGTTACAGGGAATAAAAGCAAACGCTGTTCAAAGTTTATTCAGCCAATCAGAGCACGCCAAAAAGCATAATTTCCTGGCTACCAATGCTTTGAATATGCTACAATTGTGTAATGCTTTTGGATAAATGTAGTCTCCCTCGCATCCGTTTTTTTGGATGTCACGCAACGCTCCCCCTAAAGAACGGCTGCTGACAACCGAACTACATTCCTTTCTCATTGTCCTTGCGGTTTGTTCGCGGTCTATTGAACAGACCAATCACATACCAGAAAATCTGAATGACGTAAGGTTTCACGCGAAAATGTGGATGTGGCAGATGATCTAGCTATCATGTCGGGAGAAACACTGAAGAAATTTGTCANAGCATTGAAAGGCGTCTTGTATTTCGTTTTGATTATTGATGTAATTTACTGTTTCTTATATATTCTGACTTTTATAATCTGTAGTAACCTCTTGAAGTAGTGCGTAAAAAGAGTTTCAGTTCAGTTTTTAGCTTCTACTTTCTCAGTTGCTCGCTGAAACTCTAACAACCGCTCAAACAATCTAGCGTTCGTGTCGTTGGCGTAGCAGTTGACGTCTATGTTAAGCGTAGATTCTATAATTTCAACGAAATTGTGAGAATATATACTCTATCTTTACCAGGGTACAACGATGAACATGTGAAACATTTTGAGCTCTCACTGACAAATTTCTTCAGTGATTCTCCCGACATGATAGCTAGATCATCTGCCACATCCACATTTTCGCGTGAAACCTTACGTCATTCAGATTTTCTGGTATGTGATTGGTCTGTTCAATAGACCGCGAACAAACCGCAAGGACAATGAGAAAGGAATGTAGTTCGGTTGTCAGCAGCCGTTCTTTTGGGGGAGCGTTGCGTGACATCCAAAAAAACGGATGCGAGGGAGACTAGGATAAATGCTGCACGTTTCCGTGAAGGAAAAGTGATAGGCCCTGTCAATTATTGATGATTCCCTGAGAATCCAAAAAGCTTATTGACGTCTTTGACAGGGTGGGTCCATCTTACATAGAAGTACTATTAGTAGCTTAGAGGTTCCGAAAGGGCGGAACATTTTTTATGTTATTTTACCCCAGCAGGGTCGAGGAATTGGCCTAACCAGGGCTATTATCAAGAGCTTAGCAGAAGTGTTGAAGTTTCATCTTTACTGGACAGTGGATGACGACAACCGGTTTATGTTTCAGTTTGGCGAGATTATTCGCTTGTGGCCCAAGTGCTCCATAGGTAGAGGGCTCTTGTTTGGCCAACGTGTTTTCCAAACATGCCCGAAGAAGACTGTTAAAGAAATGTCGGAATATGAAAGGTATAATCTTTGTATGGAGGTCGCAGGAAACCTGCCAAATTATGCCGATGAAGTAAAGAGGAAAGCCCATTTCCTTTTCCTAGATAGGGCAAGGTTTGAGGAGCTTCAGCGGAACCCGAGCCGTTTGTACTCTCCGTTTCTGAATATTTCCAAAGAACGTGACTGAACCCCGCCCAAAAAGAAGAGATGAAGGAGTGTGAGCAAAAGTTTCTTGAAGAATGCAGGAAGTGCCTGTTCGAAGACACTATCGACCACATAGCTCACGTTTCCTTTGGTCGTGAGTCTGGTAGAAGGTCTGATTATGTTAACTTGTTTCCGAAAGCAGACTACAGGGAGAGTGATCAGCGGTACCAGGTGGTTCTCCACAACACAAGAGCATTGAAAGAAAGGAACTATGTCAGCGATGAGGTCATTTTCGATCTACATGAATGCCAAGTCAAGGATGCGAACAAAAGAAAAACCCCCTTTTGGGGATTAAGAGGAGAAGATGAGTCATTTTCATGTGCGTCAACCGTCGGTGGTATAAAGGGCTATCAAGTGATTCGAGTTGTCCTCAGTACCAAAAAGCTTATCAGCGTCTTTGACATTTTAGGTCCATCTTACATAGAATCAGAATCGCCCAACAGTTACGAAGATGAGGAGAAAATGGCCGGGGTTTCCTAGTCTCGTGGATCTTTGACAAGATGTAAGTTGAAGCAGTTTTTCATAACTGTATTTACTTGTGGAAGTTTTTTTGCTCCTTATTGCAGCTTGTGTGACATTGATTGAACAAATTAGATTTGAATTTGACTAACTTCGTTGCCATGTAGTTACTTAGCCTAAGCATAGTTAGTAGAGAGGACTGGTTAGGAAACGCGGCAAACTTCAGTCGGATAGGTTATTGTTCGATTTTATCGAGGTCACGTGACAATGACCCTGCACACATAAATCCAAAATGGCACCGCGGGCTTGTTTCGACAGTCACGTAGCGTTTAAGTTTTTGGATTTTCTCCGTGATCGAGCGACATCTTACCTTCAGAATATAGCTAAAAACATTAATCAAGTCAGTGGACATAATGCCAGGTGAAAATTGTTCAGTGTTTGGCTGTGGAACGTGTAGGAGAAGTAAAGGAATTGGAATCTGGAAGCTACCGGCGCCGCGAAACGCGGAATACAAGAAGTGGCGAGAAGACTGGCTGAAAATAAATAAGTTACTCTATGTTAGATACTTTAACCATATAGCCTTTATACTCATTTTTGTCCATAAAATAATCATTAATGAGCAATATTTAATATGTTTATTTAATATGTTGCAGGTTGTAGCTACCAAATTAATCTTTTGTAATAAATTACTTATTGACAAATTGTTGCAGGCTCTTAATTCTAACTATATCTGCCTTTCTTGTTCTTTGCTGGCTCTACAAATTTCCTTTCGTAGTGTTTTTGTTTTCATTTGTTTACATTGAATTTTGTGTTTCTGTATAACATCTTTGGCCAGTGAAAAACACCGTACAGTAACATATAAATGAATAATGCTGTCCAAAACATCTTTTGCAATGCTGTTATCTACCACTGTGTCTGAGTCCAACAACATGGTGTTATATGCTTAGACCAATTGAACATCACAAGCTGATTTGGATTCTATCTTAACATTGTCAATGAAGTCGACCT